GCCGACTAGACAAACTCAACTTGACTGGAAATCTTGATGCACGGCTATAGTTCTCCTCCCAGACCTGCTCGTCCTCCTCGTCCTCCTCCTCCTCCACCTTCTCCTCCTCATCCTTTTCCTCCTCCTGGTCCTCCCTCCCTCCAGTCAGGGTGGGGGGGCGGTGGTAGTGCTCTCCGCCAGACAGGGCGGCATAGAAATACTGCCAGCGCTGCTCGTTGAGCTCTCTCGATCCTGGAGTTTGGTGTCCGTTCCATGGGAGCCTCCGTGGCCCCCGGCGCTGTCCGAGTTGGGCCTGACTTGGACCAGATCTGGGACACATCACCGGAGGGCTCCAATGGGGTTTTTTGGGGGAGGGGGTCCTCCAGGAGGGGTCCCCCAGGGGCTTCGCACCCCCTGTTTTGACGAGGTTCCGAGGCCCCTGGGGGGCTCTCTAGAAAACCCCCTCCCCAAAAACCCCGTTTGGAACCCTCTGGCATTAGGGACAAGATTTAGGCCGGGTTTGGACCGGACTCGCCTCTCCACAGGGGAGACGAGCAGAACGAGGAGAGGGTGGAGGAGCAGGAAGGGCGAGGAGGAGCAGGAGGAGGGGCCCAAGGCGGTCGGAGTGCGGTCCAAAGGTAGGAGAAGCTGATTGCAGCGTCGCCGCCCAAGGCTCCCGTGACTGATCATGCCCAGACAGCACTGCAGCTGCAGACGGTCCCGCATGCTGCGTCGCGCGACCGACCCGGCCCGGCCCGTACACGAACGCCGCGCTGCGAGCCCCGGGGGGACCCTTCACGGGTCGGTGCGGCCAGACGGAAGGCCGCGGGAAGCTCGGAGGCTCGGGCCCTGGTCGTCGTTTCCCACGGGCTCTGCGGCAGTGCACGGGAGCCTTCCATGTCGTCTTGCCGGCCCGTGCAAATCGACGCCAGTCGACGTTCATCGACGCTACATCGACGCTGATGCGAGACATCCTCATCGACTGCCAGACGCCACGCGACGCAGAGAGACATGCCAGTACTGTGCGCCCTCCTCGGAGGTCATACTAGCATCCTACAGTCAACCCGTATAGTAAGGATGCGCGATGAGGATGCAAGGGCCTTGGAGGGCCATTTCGATGCTTTTCGAGCGGGGCCCGGCCAGAGAAAGTGGCCAAGGATGGGCCGAGGAGGCAAGGATGCAAGGGTACCCTTGGGAAGGTTGTCCATCCTTAGTATGCGGGTTGACTGTATGCCATGTCGTATCCCGAGCGGCATGGCCAGAGCGCGCCCGCCGCGGAGCTGTTCTGCTGTGCGCGAGATGGCCAGAGCGCGCGCGGCGCCCGTGCGGGCCCGACGCCCACACTGCAGAAGCAGATTTGGGTGCTATGGTGCCGATCCAGCGGTGCAGCTTTTGGTCACGGCGTCGTGTGTCAGGACCCCCCCCCAAGAGGAAGGGCAGGGCGGGGGCGACGGGGAGATCTACGGAACAAGCGACAGTGCAGGCAGCAAGGGGAAAAACTCGACGAGCATGCCAGCCGAATGCCCCCCCCCAAGAGGAAGGGCAGGGCGGGGGCGACGGGGGATCTACGGAACAAGCGACAGTACAGGCAGCAATAAAACAAAAATCGGCGAGCATGCCAGCCGAATGGCCCCTCCCCCAAGAGGAAGGACAGGGCTGTGGCGGCGGGGGGATCTACGGAACAAGCGACAGTGCAGGCAGCGAGGAACAGCACTCGACGAGCATGCCAGCCGAGTGGCGCGCACCTCAGACAACGGACCTGAAGTGCTTTGAGTGCGAGATCGAGCGCAACATGGGGAGGGGGCGTTGTCTCGCACAGCAATGATCATGCTGCTGCTGGTGCTGCTGCTGCTGCTGACGACGACGACGATGGTGAGGAGAAGGAGGAGGAGGAGGATGATGGTGCTGGTGATGATGATGGTGATGGTGACGATGCTGGTTATGATGATGATCATGATGATGGCATGATCATGATGATGATGATGATGATGATGATGATGATGATGATGATGGTGATGATGATGATGATGATGATGATGATGATGATGATATGATGATAGTGGTGGTAATGATGTTAATTCTAATGATGCGGATGATGTTGATGATGATGACGACGATGCTGATGGTTATGCTGATGATGAGGATGGTGATGATGATGGTGATGATGATGAATAAGATGACGATGGGTGACGGTGACGGTGATGGCGATGGTGATCATGATGATGATGGTGATGATTATGATGAGTATGATGATGATGTTGATGATGATGACAATGCTGATGACGGTGATGATGATGGTGATGATGACGATGCTGCTGATGATGATGATGCCGACGACGACGACGACGACGTCGTCGACGACGACGACGATGCCAGTGACGATGCCGATGACGATGGCGAGGGCGATGACGATGAGAGGGCGTGTTCTCGCGCAGTTGTCGCCTACACATCGCTTCGCTTCAGGCCAGGACGCGGCGGGTCTACTTGAAAACTCGTGCCCTCGAGGGCGCCTCGCGGGATGTGCCCGATCGCAGAGGCCCGGCGCAAGGAGGATGTCGTCCCCCCTCGTCCTTTCGCATTCTCCTCCTCCTCCTCTATCCCCTCTATGTCTTCCATTTTGTCCGCCTCCTCATCGCCGCCTATGTCCTCTCCATGCTACGGCTCCTCATGTTCGTGTCCCTACTTCTCCTCCGCCTCCTCCTCCTCCTTCTGGTACTGCTCTTGCTCCTCCTACTCCGCCTCCTTCTGGTACTGCTCTTGCACCTCCACTTCATCCTCCTCCTCCGTCCCTTCCTCCTCCATGTCCGTCTCCTCCAGGTCCTGCATGTCTTCCGCATCCTCATCTTCAGCCATACCCTCCTATTGATACTGCTACTTCTGATCCTGCTCCTTCTCCCCCTCCTCCTGATACTGCTCCTCCTCCTCCTCCTCCTCCTCCTCCTCCTCCTCTTCCTCCTCCTCCTCCTTCTCCTGCAGCAGCAGCATCATCATCATCATCATCATCATCATCATCATCATCATCATCATCACCACCACCACCACCACCACCACCACCACCACCACCACCACCATCATCATCATCATCATCATCATTCATCATCATCATCATCATCATATCATCATCATCATCATCATCATCATCATCACCATCACCATCACCATCAACATCACATCACACCATCATCATCATCACAGCATCATCAGCATTCATCATCATCATCATCATCATATCACATCATCAGCATCATCATCATCATCATCATCATCATCATCATCACCACCACCACCATCATTTCATCATCATCATCATCAACATCCTCATCATCAGCATCATCATCATCACATCAGCATCAGCATCAGCATAACCAACAACATCATCCATCATCATCACATCATCACATCGCATCATCATCCCATAATCAATCCTCATCATCATCATCATCATCATCATCATCATCATCATCATCATCATCATCATCATCATCATCATCATCATCATCATCCTCTTCCTCCACTCCTTATCATCCTTCTCCATCCTCGTCCGCCGTTGTACTCGAACCTCCCTCCAGCACCACCCTGCTTTGTCCGTCCCCCTCCTCCTCCTCCTCCTCATTATCCTCCTCCTCCTACGCCTCCTCTTCCTCCTCGTCATCATCCTCCTCCCGCCCGCCCTCCCTCCCTCCCTCCCCTCCCTGTTCCCATGACCAGGACCATGACCATCACCATCACACCCACCACGATCATCAGCATCAGCATCAGCATCAGCATCAGCATGATCATCATCATCATCATCAGCATCAGCATCATCATCATCAGCAACAGCATCATCATCACCATCGTCAGCATCATCATAATCATCAGCATCATCATCATGATCATCATCATCATCATCATCATCATCATCATCATCATCAGCATCATCATCATCATCATCATCAGCAGCAGCAGCATCAACATCATCCTCATCAACATCAACGTCATCATCATCATCATCATCATCATCATCATCATCATCATCATCGTCATCATCATCATCATCATCATCAGCTGCATCACCATCATCAGCATCATCAGCATCAGCATCATAATCATCACCATCGTCAGCATCATCATAATCATCAGCATCATCATCATGATCATCATCAGCATCATCACCATCAGCAGCAGCATCAGCGTCATGATCATCATCATCATCATCAGCATCATCATCATCATCCTCATCAGCATCGTCGTCATCATCAGCATACTCGTCATCATCAGCATCATCATAATCATCATCATGCGCATCAGCATCATCATAATCGTGGTCATCATCATCACCATCATCATCAGTAGCAGCATCAGCAGCATCATCATCATCATGATCATCAGCATCATAATCATGAGCAGCATAACCATCATCATCATCATCATCATCATCATCATCAGCAGCATCATCATAATCATCAGAATCATCATCATCACGATCCTCATCAGCAGCATCATCACCCTCAGCATCAGAATCATCATCATCATAGTCAAAAGCATCATCATCGTCATCAGCAGCAGCAGCATCGTCCTCATCATCAGCATCAGTATCACAATCATCTGCATCGTCATCATCATCAGCAGCAGCATCATCACCAGCAGCACCATCAGCATCTTCGTCAGCAGCATCATCATTATGCTTATTATTATCATCACCACCGTTATAAGCACAACAATCACCATCAGCAGCGTCATCATTGTCGTCGCCATCGTCATCATCATCATCATCATCATCATCATCATCATCATCATCAGCATCAGCATCATCATCATCATCATCATCATCATCATCATCATCATCATCATCATCATCATCATCATCTGCAACATCAGCATCATCATCATCCTCAGCATCATCATCATCATTTTCACCCTCGTCATCATCATCATCATCAGCAGCATCATCATTGTCATCATCACCATCGACATTGCCATCAGCATCACCTTCACCATCATGATCATCACCATCTCGTTGTCATCACCTGCCTTCCATCCCCACCGTCGTCGCCAAATAGTGCCTTTCAACACAATTATTACCATGATCGTTATCCGCCGACCCCTTGGGGATCATCGGCGTGTGAGATGCTTCCCCCTCCCCAAACCCCTCCCTCGGGAGCCCAGTCCGGTCGATTTGGAGGGGGGGGGGGGTCCGGCACGAGCGCAGCACGGCCGGGACGAGCGGTTCACGGGGCTTTTCCGGGCCCAAGAGGGCCTCAAGACGAGCCAAGAAGCCCCCAAGAGGCCTCCAAGACGGCCCACGAAGGCCCCGAGACGCCAAACGACCGCTCCAAGACGCCCAAGATGGCCCCAAGACGGGCCAAGAGGTCTCCAAGACGGCCCCCGAGGTCCCAAACAAGCCTCCCAAGAGGGCCCCAAGAGTCTAAAATTGTTGATTTTCCATAGTGTTTTTCGATGTTTTTTGCTTTTCCGCCTTTTCGGCTTCCCGACGCTCCAAGACGGCCAAAGAGGCCCCAAAGACAGCCCCAAGATGGCCCAAGAGGCCCCCAAGACGGCCTCCAGACGGCCCAAGACGGCCCCAACACGGCCCAAGAGGTCCCCAAGACGGCCCAAGAGGGCTCCAAGACGGCACCACGAGGGGCCCAAGAGGGCGACCAAACATGTTGAAACTCTAGCTTTCTGCCCCCAGGAGCCCCAGGGGGCCCCAAGAGTGCCCCAAGAGGCCCCCAGAGGCCCTCACGAGGCCGCCCAGACGCCCCAAGGAACCCCCAAGAAGCACCCCAGAGGCTCCGAAACGGCCCCCAAGTGGCTCCAAAACTCGCGGTGTCGCCGTCCGCTCGGACCCCCCCGCGGAACTGCCCGAGACCCTCTGGCGGTGGCGGCGAACAGACACCAAACAAATATCACTCGCCTTTTCACCCCTTCGCAGCTTCTACTACCCCCAGATTGGCATAAACAAGGGGTCGGCGGTGTGGCGTAAGCCTAAGAATCATCATCACCACCATCACCACCATCATCACCACCACGTCAGCATCAGCATCATTACCGTCATCATCATCATCATCATCATCATCATCATCATCATCATCATCATCATCATCATCATCAGCAGCATCATCAGCATCAGCAGCAGCATTATCATCAGCATCATCAGCATCACCTGCAGCATCAGCATCAGCATCAGCATCAGCATCAGCATCCTCGTCCTTATCCTCGTCATCATCATCAGCAGCATCAGCATCACCATCACTATCGCCATCATCATCGCCAACATCATCGCCAGCACCATCAACACCATCATTACCTTCTTGATGGCCATCAGGTTCTTCTAGTGCGCCCAGGTGACGTCACCCGCCGACCGTTCCATGCTAAGTTGGGCGACGCTGCTGCACTGAACTGCCCTTCCCGCCATCTACCTGCTCAAACGTGCTATCACTTAATCAAGGCCCCAATGCACAGAGATGAGCTCTGCCTCGAGGGACCTGCGGAGAGATCCCAACCATCGACCTGCTCGTCGGAACAAGACCCAGTCCAACGATGATCCGTAAGACCGTAAGATAATCACTGCTACCCATGCTACTGCGACGGTGTGAAAGCGCGACGCCCCACCGACACAGAGCTGGACTCGCGAGACCTCCTGCGTGCTCATCGCTTTGCCGCGCATGGAGTCCTCGTTCATGTCCCAGCTACAAGGCCCGACTCGCGCAAGGGGCTGCGATACAACGGTACCAGGGGGCGGC